TAAAGACAGATTTTAAAGTTTAAAAAAAATTTAAAATTTTTTAATTTAAAAAATTAGAAAAAAAGAAATGTTGTATTATAGGCTAGAGATACAGCTCAGTGGTGAAGTGCTTGTCTAACATCCAAAAGGCCCTGGGTTCAATCCCCAGTACTGTTAAATCTTTTTTTTTTTTTTTTTTTTGGTACCGGGGATTGAACTCACAACCTTGCGCTTGCAAGCCAGGTGCGGTGCCACTGAGCTAAATCCCCGTCCCCTAGTACTGTTAAAAAAAAAAAGAAAAAGAAAAAAATGAAATGTTAAATTATATATATATAGCTTGTACTTACAGCTGGTATTATATTCCTATTTGACAGGGCTGTTCTATGTTCTCTATAGATTATCCTATCAAACTTTTTCAGGTTTCTTCAAATCCAGCGTAAATGGCTTACCTCAACATCTGTTGTACTGGAAAAGAACTCTAGGCATGTTGTCTTCCCACTTGCAATATTGCCCTCAACACAGATCTGGCAAAAGACAAATGTATATTAGAGCCAGAAACCAAGCACTTAAGGCAGTGGTGGCGAACCTATGACACGCATGCCGCAGTAGGCACGCAGAGCCCTCTGCAATGACATCCTAAGTTGTATGAGTTTTTTTCTAAACTAAAACCTCAGTATTCAGATTTAATTGCAGTGTTGGCACTCTGCAATAAATAAGTGGGTTTTGGGTTGCAATTTGGGCACTTGGTCTGGTCTCTACAGGTTTGCCATCACTGAATAAGGGAACATTAGGGAATTTCTAGGAAAGGGCTCAGGTGAACTGCCTAATTGGTCCTGTCCAAGGCTTAGGGAAACCAAAATCCTTCCTCACTAAACTCCTGAGGTCCACTACAATGACAAACCACACCCCACCAAGTCGCCCAGTGGCAGGCTCAAGGGTCTTTCCAGAGCAGACCCTCCTTTACCACACAGCTTGTCCACCCAGCACAGCTCTGTCTTTCCCTAGCTCAACTCCTCAGGCTGTTTAAGTGTCCCATTTCCTTAACCAGAGTCTTTTCTTTTCTTTTCTTTTTTTTGATTAAATTCTTTTATTGGTACAGTGTAGGTATACAACACAATTACATTTCTCATTGGGAATTGTACCTTTACATAATGCATCTTGGTTCTTATTT